CTGGCTGGTTATGTACTTGCTCAAATATTGATTTCAGATCATTTTTAACCAAAAAAGATTACGGACTGCAGCTTTAATCAGATTAAAATTTTGAATCTATTGACAGCCCTAATATATATATACAGAGAGAAAGAAAGAGAAAATTCTATATAAATTATAATTAATAAAAATTACAATATATTATTATGATAATACTTATTATGCATGTAATATTTTATTATGAATATTTTTTATTAAAAAACTACATTTATTTAAAATTAAAAGTTTTATTAGAATTGAAATAGAGTTAAAAATGTATACATAATGCATACATAATTTGAAAAAAATGACAGCCCTGATATTTTTGTTAAGAAATTTTAAGCCCTAATAAAAAGATCAGGTCATTAAGTTTCACTTCAGGTAAAAAAAAAACTCTAAAAACTAAAATAATATGTGCAGGTTGTGTCAATTTGTGTGGAAGAGACAATAGCACATATAGCCTATGAAAACACCAGATGTCGATTTCTTCAACACCGATGAGTCAAAAGCAACACATTTCTGGTTTGGTGTCACTGAAGGGCTACTAGAGCCTCAGTGATGAAGCTGATAAAAGAAGTTTTGAGTTGATCTTTAGTTGATTAATGTGGTGATGCTGACCGTTCGCACATTATAAAGGAAATGTAGGGACTTCACAGCCTTGTCAGGGAAACAAAAGTCTTCTGTATAAAACGATGTATAAATAAGGACTAAAAGAGAGTGAATACAATAAAGTTTGACATATGACTCACGGCACTGCATCATTCATGTGTAATACTACTCTCTTGAAAGAGCACAAAAAAAGATAGTCAAAGGTTGAGTAGAGGGGATGATGTGTCATCGGTTAGATGAAAATAAATAAGTGAATCGATTATTCAGCTGCACATTATTAACATCCAAAGCCAGTCTTACAACACGTGAGGTGGTGGAGAGGAGAGGAGAGGAGGGGAGAGGAGTTGCCCCTGTGTGGGTCTGAACAAGGATGAGTCACAAGTTTGCTGCCCACTCAAAACACCCACACAAACCAGAGAGTGGGTGTGAAAACGCTGGGCTCGGAGCCTACGGGCTTTACAGAAAGGGAGAGATGATCGTTCTGTCTCTTATTTTCACTTTCTCTACTCCTCTGCATGCATACACCTCTTCTACCCACGAGCTGAGCCCACATCGAGGGAGCATTTTATGATGTCATCTCCTCAGATCTAAAGAACCACGGCACTCAGGATAATGTGTGGGCTATTATCCTCTATACTTTGGTGCTGAGTCTTTTTGGAGGATACACTGCATCCCTTTCTTTCAAACTTTTTCTTTTGGAACAACTGACCACATTTCTTTTCAACACAGCATCCTGCCGTGCACTGATCTCACTTTTCTCACAGACCCAGGATCAAGTCTGGCACCTGCCAATCATCACCTAAACTTTCAAAAGCACACCATCACATTCTGTCGATTTCTAAAAATGCCCACTGCAGCTCGCTCACCATTAGGAAAGGCACTAAAGAGAAAACACTGAACCTACCGGTGCAGGATAAGTGCGTGATTCGGTTTTAGCAAGTCCATCATGTCCTGTTTCAGGAATATTCATCTGAGGCACTACAGAAAAATGAGAGGAAGTGTGTTATAATGCCACATCATAATGCTAATATTAAAAATGTATATATCACTCTCAAAACTGTTCCAGCCATCATGGACCAATATTATGTTGTATAACATGTCCAATTCAAATTAAACCCTTCAGGACTGTGAAGGAACATTTTGTTGAAACAAACCAGCTAGATGACACTCAAGTGAGACAGATTGCTCATTAGAATATTTCACATTTGCGTGTGGGCGATCACCAACAGCCATTCTTCATCACAACTCAAATAATCTCCAGAGATGAGCGCTTCAACTTGCAAAACAATCTCAAATCACACAAATGATCACGTTATTTCTTCTTTTTAATAATTACACATTTTATATTAATTATAACCCCTGTAACAGTGAAATGTACACTATGGATAAAAGGTTTAAAATACTATTGTGGAATTGAACACGAAAATGTGCCAATTATACAGCCATTGCTATAAAAGGGAGGCCCTTTTAAGGCACTTTGAGGTACTTAACTGAAATATACAGCGGTATGAATCATTCACATCCTTATCATTATGCCAATTGAGGTGCTGGATCCATTAACAGCACTTTTGAGGGTGAAAAGAAAATTATCTGACATGTCTGACAGCACAAAGAAGACTGCTAATGCACTACTTTGTAACTGATCAGATGCATCATTTGCTGAAAATTTAAATTACATTTTGACATAGGTTTACTGAGAAACAATCCAATTTCTCCTGTACTGCAGCGTAGAATTCAACAAATATGATGCACCAGGCATTGAGCCGTTTAGTCTTTAAGTACTCAAAGAAAGCTCAAAAGCAGATTATAAAAACAAATAAACAAACAATATGTGAATAAGACGATATCAGGTGCTAAAAATGCTGCCTGTCAACATTCAGACAGCAGCTATTGTTACAGATAAGCTGCTAGCCATATTTTACAATATCAAATTTACATATGACCAAAATGATAGGATTTTTTTTTTTTTTTTACTGCTTTCACATAAGGTTTCTTCTTATCACCCTCTGCACACACTTATATCACAGTATGTCTCATGTGTGCCCCCTGATGGAAAATATTTGAAACAAAAAAGTACAAATTCACACAAATCAGGTATTTTAGGACTATTAGCCTAATGATTTGTGGCTGCATGACATCATTTGGCTGACACCGATTAAAAAAAAATGTTGGACAGTTAAAAGTAGACTAATTAAAAATAGTTACAGATGCAAAAAGCATTTTAATTGTATACTTAGAGCATTAGGTCTCATTTGTTTTATAGTACTATTAGCACTAGTTTAGTAATTAATAATGAACACAGAGATTTTGCTCCCAATCCCTTCAGTTTAGGGGTGCGTAACGGGGGCGATGAAGGGTGCTGGGCTGAGTGGGTTCATTGAATCCATGTACATAATGTGTCCGTTCAATCCACTTGCAGGCGTCCGGCCACTGCACTTCATCTTCCTAGGCAGTGGTGTTATCCTTGTCATTTGAGGGGAAAAAAAGAGGAAAGGGGAAATGTGTCCCCCCTTGTTTCCCCTCTCTAAACTCGCCCCTCTCTTATTCCACAACTCAATTCTTTCAGTCCCCCCGGGGCAACAGCATTCCAAAACACACACAAGAATTTCCTTTTCTTCAGTTCACAAACCCTCCCCTCCTACCTCACTTCAAGAAGAGGAAAAAAGAATACATCACCCTCAACCAAATGGCCCTTACACTAAATAACAAAAATAGAGAAATAACACGTCTGTGTAACTTATGACAAGTCATCAAACCACTTTTCAGTCTTTCTTTCTCTCTCTCTCTCTCTCTATAAAATGCATTTGTCAGATACCACACATACACTATAGCTACAGCATTCTCTCTCTGTGTGTGTGTGTGTGTGTGTGTGTGTGTGTGTGTGTTTCGTGCATGCGGAATTGTAAGTTCGAGGTTTTAGACACAAAGCAACATACATGCAGGAAGCAGCAAAAACAAGTATTCTTTTAAAATTAATTATCACATATGTATCATATTTGTGGTATTGACGCTATAGTTTGGCCATATGCTACTCGAAAGAAAAAAAGATGAACCAAATACTAAACAATGCTTCTTAAGGATACACAATCTGCAGCTTATGGCACAATATAATAAAATAGACATAGGACGCACCTTTTGTTTGACTTCGCTGCATGCTCGCATTCTTCCTCCGCGCACCATCACAGCTGATAGCGGACAATCTGTTTCCCTGCGTCCAGGGGAAAAAAAAGAAAGAAAGGCGTGAAAAAGGAGCTCGATCGACAAAATGAAAGTACGGCTCCGTTGCGAATGCAGAAACACTTCATGTTCATCATCGCATGTTTCATTCATCTTCTTGTCATTTCCCTTTTCCTTGCGCCGGCCGCCTTTTCACGTTGTGCATTAACATGCTGAATGGCTTGGAAATGCCACTGCTGCCCCATTCACATGAACGCCACTGACTTCACTAACCAGCATTCAGTTCAGAAATCCCCCTCTGCCGGGGCCGTCCCTTCGCGCGCGGATATAACGGGGATATAACGCACTGCAGGCAGGCCTATAATATACGCACACGATTTGAGGAAACTCCTAAATCAGAAATAGACTTTTGTGCAGAAAAGGCGAAAGTTCTATGCTGAGATGACATCGTTTTTCAACGTTGAACTTGACTGTTTCTGAGAACAGAAAGGGTAAAACAGCTGCGTCCGCATAACTCTCATTTGTAGGCAGATGATACAGATTTCCACACTAGATTCAAAGGGGAATTTGTCAGTACATTTTGTTGTTCTTCATGTCGAAAAAAACTGTACATTTAACAATAAAGCCCGAAGCCACTAGACAACTTTTTAAAATTCCATAGAGGGGTTTTTAAACAATATGCTGGTTATGTAGACAACATCTGTGTAAATTACTTTAAACTGTGTGTGAATTATTCACTGACTTTCGGGGATTAAAGGACTTCCTGTGAGTAGGCTAATTTTCGCTGTTCGTCTCGCGCCTCTTATACAGTTAGTCAAATGTCAGCTATCTTAAATTGTCTGCTTCTTAAAACAACATATTTTTGTCATATACTCGTGACATGTAAATATATAACAGAATAATAAAAGTAGCCTACTTGGTTTTTGTCAACGTATCAACCGATTACGAATCCAAATAGAACGCTCTGCTGTTTCTATGGTTACCAGCGCAGGCGAACGCGACTTCTGTGCGCAGGCGTCTATTTAAATGCACTTCCACTAACTTGTAACTTCCCTAGCTAGGTTTTTTTTATTATCTTAAGTACTCCATAGTCCTTGGTTGGGAATCACCGTTTTACAGACTCCATTAACCAATACGCTATTCTGAAGAACCTATTATCTGACGTCAAGATGTTCTCCAAACAACCACACAGTCAGACAACACAACATTTATAGTGAAAATGTAATATGAATAAGTTTGTGCCACGAAGAACCATTAAATAACCTTTATTACAGTATAGGCTAGGCCTATATATCATCAGGAACTTTGTTAAGACGTTTTTTTAAATGCCAGATTGGCATAAACTGAAGAGTGTTTATGTCAGTACTTGTTTTCCTCTAAAATTAGTTTAGGGACTTTAATCCAGTTGAGGAGGAAGTTAACACTAAAGGCGTTCAATTGATTTGATTCTCATTTGGTAAAATTTATTTGAAACAAGCCTTTCATGTGTATTTAGATGCTTTGTAATAAGCTTACATTCCCCAGATGTGGTTTCTGAAATTTACTCATTGAAGATTATTGTTTTTAATTGAGTTAACACCGAATAGTAGTTCAGAAATCTATTCCTCATCTGGACATTATACTCTTTTTGAAGTCTAAAGTAATTGTGTTGTATTTTCAATACACTCAAATTATCCTAAAGGATACAAGAGAATTTAAGACCTACTCTATGGCAATGGAAACGTAAAAAACCTTTAACAGTTTCCTAAGACACAATTTCAAGTGCAGTGCATGCCAGATGCTGAAATTTGCATGTTGACAAATGAGTAATATGCATGCGTTCACTCATTTAAGTAGTTTTGTTGGTGTACACTGATATAGGAAACCACTGAGCTTTATGTACAGCCTGGTTCCCCCTTTGCTGTCCCTCCCTCTCTCAACAGCAGAATTGTTTTTACAGTAGACACCCGGGGTTTCACCAGAGAGTAAGACTAGCAGGAAAGAAGTACAATGGGAGTTCACCTAACTGACCACATCGTCTCATTCACAACAGACCATGAACACTCTTCTTCAATCCTTGTCCTGAATGCAGAAAGGATGCATGGGGGAAATACAACAGCTGTGGGAGGTGCCCAGTGATTTACATAAAATTTCCAAAGCGCCAGATTGGCATATGATGAAATGTCTTGTTTTTTTCCATTCTCTGTCACACTTTCACAGAGAACATCTCAGAGAAGGCTTTCAAGGGAAGGATGAGCAGATGATGAACTTGGGGAAATTTGCACAATTGATCATTCTGACAGGGTTTTAAGAAAAACATTTCTGTCATTCCATGGATGGATTCTTGTTTAATATATGTCCAAATAGCTAACAAATTAAATTTTAAATGAGGAAATCAGAATTGAATGCGCCGTTCATCAAACCGTCATTTATAGAATTAGATCAAGCTTCAATAAATCACTCTGTTTTGAATTGAGAAATGTGCCATATTATTAATAAAGAGAAATATTATGAATGTTAATGATTTTACTCTGAAAAACCTCTTATTGTTCCGATCTAATCAGTGTGAGCACATCTGCACACAGAAAAATATGAAAACATAACCTGCGCAGCATGTCTCTTCAGCCCTGCTCACACACACAGCACAGTATGAGCCTTTACTGGTATGGAAACATTTTAAATATCAGTTTCACATCTGCTTCAGCCAAATAAGACACAAGCATCAGACAAAGAGTGAGAACAAAACTGTTGATAATTTAGTCGCTGTATTCAAAAGTGGATTAATACACTTTCAAATAACAATGCAATTTTTTTAAAAAGATCTGTATCTGAAAAAAGGGACTAAACAAGGTTAATTCTGCTTTTCTAAGACTTAACAGGAATATTGGAGCTAAATGATGACAAATACATATTTCTTGTTTACCACAGACAGAAATTCCATTAACCGTTGAGAAACATTCAAATTCCTTACAATAAAAAATAAAAAATGTGCACTATTTCAACTCGATATTTCTTTAGTGCACTAAGGGTAGCATGATTTGATTCTTCAGTTATATCATGATCGATAATGACTTGGCAACATTTATGCTTTCATCAGTTCCCAGACTAACCTCTTCAAATGACAGTCGCAAGCGGTTCAATAACATATACAGCACCCAGAACGCAAAAATACAGTTGAATGTTTTAAAGTGATCTATTCTCATGGCACAATCTGTGAATGCACCTATTATTTTAAAATAATATTTACTTGACCAGCTGAAGTATATCTATAAAAATATTTGGAAAAGCCTTTCTAGTTAATGAGAAGTAAAATCTGTACACAGAATTATGCCAGCTGTAGTATTTGGCAGTGAGTACACTTGTGGATCAAGTGAAATCCACTGGCAAATACAGTTTTCCCCCACCTGCAGCTCATGATAATGAATCAATGCTGATTTACTGTTTATGAATAGCATGTTACGATATGGGAGAATGCAGACATAAAATCAGAGAGGTGCTCTAAGAACTAGTTATTTTTCAAGGTATTGTATATGGTTACGCTTGGCTTAAGATGTAGACAATAGCAAACAATACCTAAATGCATTCTCTGAGTCTCATCCTGACAAGTACCTTCAATCATCTGTGACTTCAGTCAGCTGTGGCTGGAATTTATCCATAGTCTAAAAGACATGTTGTCTTTGTTAAGTTAGACCAGACATATTGTAATGAATAACCACTCCTGTTATATGCCGTTCATGTGTTACTATTCTTTATCATATTTTCTACAACATAAATCACCATGTTGCATGTGGTTTCTACATTCTTTGATCTTGGATTCTCAGGTACATTTAAAAGTCTGAATCTAAATTGCCTATACATGTGCAATAAATATTATCACTGCAAAGTAGTGAACAAAAATTCCTGGTGCATGTACAAGGACCTCAAATTCCTAAATGCAATGTCATCTTAAAGGAATTCAGATGAACTTTCACTTCTTTCCTCATTCAGACAGTGAACTATAGAATTGATTTTCTGTGTAGACAAACATACTCTTCCTTAATTAATTTTTAGGTCGAGCAATCTTCAAAAAGGGATATGAAATGTTTAGATAGGACATTTTGTGTAGAAGAACAGTTAATACATAAGATCAAATAATTCAGTTCTTTAGTCTGGCATCTCAGTCACAGAGAGTAAATCAATTCAGAAAGATTGAATCAGTTCAAACCAATCAGGCCTTATTGCTAACTGAATCGATACTGAGTCAGTGTACACAGTTTAAAATAAAAACCGAATATGTCAGTACTTCCATCACTGTTTAAATCCCATCTAAAATGAATCTATACTAAACTAACTATTATGTTTTATTGCATTCAAAATTGATATTTGTATGTCTTAGGTTTGGTAAGATGACGCAGCCTGCAGAGATTTTTCTGGTGAAGTATGCAAGTGAACGAGTGAATCGGTACTCACTAAATCTTATACTTCTCTGTGCTCGAGTTTGAAGATAAACACCACTTGCAATTGGCACAGAAACGTCCCTCTTTGTTTGTCATTTGTAAGGATGGAATGAGACCACCTCTCAGACCAAACACCATTTAAATACATCGGCGCATTGATCAGTGAACTGGAAATGAAAAATATCGCCAACCCTGCGGGGAAACGACAGCAAGACACTTCACGCTCCCAGCAGACAGTGCGATTCTAACAGCACTACAGGTGGGTCTCTTTGTATCCCCTCCCGATTGTGCCCCGTTTTGGGAAAGCCCCTCGGCGGCAGGCGGCAACCGTCTCCAGCTGAACCTGAAATACAAGCCCGAGTGCTGGATTTTCCCACTGCAGCGAGGGGGGATTGATTCCCAGGGATCCGTCTGAGCTAAACCCTCTTAAATGTCCCCCTGGCCTTTGTCTTCACGTTTCAGCTGAAATTCGCAGCATTCATCGAGCGCCGCTTCAGAGAGCACAGGAATGCTCCGGGTTTGACAGGCACCCCTCGCCTTCTGCAAATGGGTGGAATATTTCACATACGCACACTTCACTTGTGCACACATGCACTTGGTCACCCACACACACTGAGCTACACCCTCCCACACAAATACCTATATCCAAACACCCACACACACACACACACTCATGTGCTCCTGAGTGCACATGCACAGGGCACACACACACGCTCCAGCACAATAAGTTTTTCATGATAGCTCTGATCTGGTTTTGTACAGAATGGGATACAACACAAACAAATATGGCAGATAATGGCATTAGCCGAGATCCCGCTGGCAAGTTTAAGCACTTTGGGAAGAAGCAGATAGGTGTGCGTGCGCCATTTATCTCTCTTTAACTGCGGAGAACAAAGAGCAAAACTGCATTTCAGTCTCTTGCATTCCATTCTAGCAGAGACACTCTTTCAGCACAGAGAAAACAATTACAGATCTCAGTCTGTCAACAGCCTCGCACAGCACAGAGGATCCACTCTCACTGCAGCGCACTGCAAACAGTGAGGCGCCTCTTTTCTATTCATGAGGAGTTGAAATTGACCACATTTTTAGCATGAGAGAGACTGAGCCAAAGCTTTACATCATTGCAGAAACTCTCATTCCATCTGAAATTTCAAGTCATGTAGATCAACTCCAGTCATTTGCTTTCACTCAAAAAGTTTACGTTCATCTTCAAAAGAATCTTACCTGCACACATGGCACGGTGTGATTTGTGTCTTCCTTTTTCTTGTCACTCCATTTCCTCCAGAGTTCATGTGCCTGTGACTGACTGCAGTATCCTGTTGAGATCTGCTGTTATATATGTGTGTGTGTGTGTGTGTGTGTGTGTGTTTGAGGCTGAGCTTTTGCCGTTCTCTGTGAGTGTCACGCTGGAAGTGTTGTATCCATAGGCTGCCTTGGGTTTAACTACATAGCATCTCTCCACCCCCATGGCTGCATGGTAAGCGTGTGTGAGCAGGGAAGGTTTCCTGCCTACACGGCTCTGTAAGTCAGCCCCCAGCCCACCCCCCCCCACCACACCCCCACACACACACATTCACATTCACTGCCTACTTTAAAATGCCGTCACCTGACCAGCCTACCACAGTCAGCCCACACATAGTTCAGCTTTTCCTCTTTTTTCCAGTTTTTTTTTTTTGCATCAGTTTTTCACATCTCAGTTATGGTTAAGTAGAAAAAGTAATGAAAATAACCAGAATAATCAATGAGAAAGCACAAAAAGTTGGCATACTGTTGCTCTAAGAATTTATTCTCGCCAACAAGAGGCGTTTAAGCGAAACTCTTCATCAGGCACAATCAGACTGATTAATTTTGCAAAAAAAAAAGTGCGCCGACCTTTTGTGCTTTTTAATGTGAGAAACAGTTACAATGTACACTGTAATGACTTGAGACTGTACAGAGAAAATGTTTTAATTCTTAACTATATATCTATTAAAATTTCTATTCATTTTAAATTCTATTAACACATCATTAAAAAACTTGATTTAAATTATATTTTTAAATGACAATAAATTAATAGATTTCTGTTAAAGGTCTGTAAATATTTGTAATGTTATCAATGAATATAGTTTTTTTTTTTTTTTATAAAAAAGCATTGTGATACTGTTTTTATGCAATATAGCTTTTGGCTTTTTTCACAAGCTGGTTTTACAGAAAAATAATCTGTTTTGATCTGGTTAGGATTTGTCATCTGAGGGGAAAAAGTAAATTGGATGTGAAATTGTAATTCATGACCTCACAATGCACACCCTGTTATTGGATTGATTACTCACTCCATTAAATCATAAATAGGTCACCTCAAAATGTGTACTGTTTTCCATGTGCATCTCATCAAACCAGTCCTTTAACACTCATAGACAGTGCATGCTTTTAAAAGTGTGAGGACTCAATGAAATGTCAGTGTATGGAAAACATATGTCTTTGTTGAGAATGCAATCAGAGATCAAACAGTGTTTGAGGCAACATCACAAAAAAAACTCTGAACGAATATGAATATGTGGCCCTGAACATATCAATCAGTATTTCCATCAACTCTGAAATATCACAATGGAGCAGTTTATTACTCTATGTGGAGGGAAGAAGCTGTATGTTGTTTTTTAAATTCCCATTTCTGGGAAGATGTGTTGGAGTCAAACTCTCCATGTCCTTACCCTTTTAAAACTAACCAGCCGCAAAGAGGTCATAAAATACGAACTTGTCTATCTAAGAGTCCATTTAGACAACAAGTGCTCTATTAGAACCAACCACCACGGTTATACAGCTTTACCTTCAGTGCTGTGCATTAAGCAGAGGTGGCTGTGTGCGCTTCAATTTGTGATTACTTTTCCGAGCTGGTAATTGGACTATTTTAGAGAGCGAGACTGAAACAATTCAGGTAATATGGCTACAGAAAAGAGGAAGGAATTATGCGTGGGCAAAGCACAAGCTCTCTATCAATATGCAGACAGATTTTATAGACTCTAATGGAAACAAACGAGGTTTATCTGGAAAAAAAATACTTTTGCTGGTACCTAAAACTTTCAACTTCAGTTGTGAAAATCATTTTGTTGATTAGTATTTAGCCTTTTTAGTTAAAATATCTAAACATTCTTAAAACAAGATACTTGCAAATAAAAAATTGCATAATATTGTATATTGGCATAATATACACTCTTAAAAATTAAGACTGCACAAGGGTGTTTTTGAAGCAATGCAATAAAATGTTGACTTCCACTACAAAAAAAACTTTGTTAACAGTTCTTAAAAGAACCTTTTTTTTTAGAATAACAATCTAAAGAACCTTTTCCCATTATACATTCTTAAAAACAAAGGTTCTATATTGTTCTTCAGATTATTAAAATGCTCTTAACGTTAAGAAAAAAATGCTTCTTTTAAGAACTGTTCTAAAAGTTTCTTCGCAGATCCAAAAATGGTTCTTCTATGACAACTTTTAACCTCTATTATTTTAAAGGGGTCATCGGATGCCCATTTTCCACAAGTTGATATGATTCTTTAGGGTCTTCACGAAATGTCTACAACATACTTTGGTTAAAATTTCTCAATGGTTGTGTAAAACAACATTCTTTTTACCTTGTCAAAAACATCTCTGTTCACAGCGATCTGTTTTGGTGCATGTCTCTTTAAATGATAACGAGCTACTGCTCACCTCACCCCTCTCTTCTGTTTTTTTGTGTATTCGTCGGCGCTTTACCATCAAAAACAAAACTAATCCACTGCGTCCTCATTGGCTCTGATGTTGCGAGAAAATGAAGACTCTTATGTTCACTTTTACATCCAAATACTAAGGGCGGAAACATGTTAATGTGGGACAGTCCGTCAGCGGTCGTGGGCGGGGCCTGAGCAGTATGACGTCATCAGGGCCGCATTAAGACCGCACTGGGCCCCGGGGCTATGACTTACTGCAGGGCCCCCCATCACAATAATATATATATAGGGTACAACGGGGCTAAAGGCCCACCTTAAGAAAAAATGTGCCATTCACTGCGCCTAAAATGTATAATTGTAGAAAAAAAAAAAATTTAATATAATAATTATTATATATTGAACATTAATGGATCAACAGATTTTGTGTGAAAATAAATCCTTCAAGTTGTTTATTTTGTTTAAAAATCGTATAAATGTATGAGGTGGCAAGAGGGGCCTTTTACCCCACACACGGGGTAAAAGGCTCACCAGCATGGGGTAAAAGGCACATGGTATTTATACAAATACTTCAGCTAAAATAATGTTTTTTAAAAAAATAATGTCTCAGTTAATACTTGTTCAAAACAATCACTTTAGCAAAGTTTGTACTCTCGCAAAGACGGGCATTTTGACACATAACTATGTGTATTTGACCGTTTAAGCACAAGGAGCGAAAGTTTTGTCAGTAATATGAGCAGGTGTATCAGGTAGAAACCGTTTTAACGCACGCATTTACCAGAATGAATTCTGCCCCGCAGCGTAATGTCCATGAACAGTATAAACCATTTGTTTTAAAACCTGCTTAAAACGCTTTGAAATGATAAGCTTAGACTACATCATGACGCGCTTCAATCAACGATTGATATATTTCTACCGGATTATCTCCCAACCCTTAAATTAATATAGTTTGTTCAAACACAAAAACAATATAAATCCAGTTAATAATCAAACTAACCTAAAATCTGTGTGGACGATGACACTGTTTTTATCTGCTCCATGTGCCCGGTTCACTTGCTGTTCCAGCAACTTCCACTCCATCACCAGCTTTAGTAAAATAACCTGATAGATACGTGCGCATATCGTTCAAGTCAAATATAGAATAAATGCATTTGATTGGTAAACCAAATTCAGACTTTACGTTTCAATCTCAAATGGTAATGCATGGAATTTACGGAAAAGCTCAACTAAATAACAGCGCTAATAAGTGGGGGGCGTGGTGGCTTTGGCGATCGGCGCTCCAGTCAATCTACTCCACAGCCAATCACGGGCCCCCTCCTTGCTCGGGCCCCGGGGCTTCAGCCCCACCTAGCCCAATAGTTAAAACGGCCCTGGACGTCATACTCAAAATAAAAATCTAAATGGCTTGATAATGGAGACTGTTTAGGTTTTTGGGGGATTTAAAAAAAGGAGTGAATGCATATACACACTGCTAAGACACATTTACCTGTATATGCAAACACCACATAAAAGTGAATTTTACATCTAATTTCCCCTTTGTACAATGGAAATGTCCCATGGATGTTAAAGGTTCTTCATGGAACCGTCAATGTCAATAGACACATTTTTAGGAAATATTAAATATGAATACATGACTATATTAGTATATATAAATGGTTTTGGCAGTGTATACTGAACCAGATATTAATTACTCAGTTCTCTTTATTTCTCTTTTTCAGACGTGCCTGACTACGACTTCTCTGATTTCTCATTGACTTGAACACAGCATTTAAAGGTCTAAACTTATGAACTACAAACTACCAATATTAACAACTAAGATCTGTGACAAATAAAGTTTACTGAGCTGCTTAAAGAATCCAATCATTTTGGGAAGTTTTTGTTCCTATGCATGCAAACAACAAATGCTGACATATCTGATTTTTTCTTTGAGTGCCTGTTAATTTTTGTCAGAAAAGTTACATTACATCACATTCAATAATTTACAGCCATAGTAAACTGTCAACAATTTATGTGTTGCTTGCAAATTGTCCGTTCTATTGAACATTAAGGTAATTCTTAAAAAAAAAAAAAACAGCCCGTGAGATTTGAACCCTTGTTATTATTCATAATGAATAGGTGTGGCTTCTAAGAAACAAAAACACTCATGTATTTAGTTGAGTAAGTTCTCATCACATATGCAAGCACAAAGACCCCACCCCAACACCCTCACCACAGTTTCCCGACAATCATCTCCCGCCTTAACCCAGACTTTACCCACAGAGAGTTTAACAGCTAAACCAGTTGTCACAGTCACTTGGGTCACTGGGTTCTTTCTCAGATTCAGGGTGTCCACTCTTGAAATTTCTATCCTGCTGTTTAAAGCGAATTTACCCAAGAACAAAATAGAATCATGCTGTGGAAACCTGAGATACCTGCAAGCGCCCATATGCACTTCATAAAATATGAGGGGGACCCATGGAATGATAATGACAGGAGAGTAATTGATGAAATTATTGCTCTGCACTGAAGATCAAGAGTCATTCACAATCAAGAACTTTCCAAGTTTCTGCATCAAGTTTTTTAGCTCATGTTGCCTTGTGCTGGTTTGGAGTTTTAAGAAAACATAGAATGCAAGTAACATTGTTATCTTTTCTGTTCTTTTTTTTTTGTCTTTTTTCTTGAAAAAGACAATTGCCAGGAAGATGAATCGGTTTTTTTGCAACACTTTGCAGAACTTCTTCAAGTTAG